ACCTTCCCCTCCATCACCCCCAAAACAACAAAGGACGAGAACTATTTACACAAACAACCTGAGAGAGAGAGCTGTCTGAGGTGGAAGCTGTGCACACAGTCATCCTGCCATTTACTCCCAAAAGGCTCTGATCACAGCGGGGATGACATGCAAGGACTGCTGCATGTCAGGGAGAATACACAGCCAGTGGCACTGCTCAGCAGCCTCCCAGTCGCTCCATACAACACACCCTTCAAAGAAATGTCATCCTTTATGGTCCCTTCAACACACTCCAAATCCACTCCCCTTCGATCACTACAGCTCAAACACACAACAAAGCTGCAAGGGCCAATATATCGGACGTCCTTTTCTCCCAGGCTGTCCCTCCTTCTATCTCTCTGATTGTCTGCCTTTCCTTTGGTGGGAAGAAACCAACCTGTGTCTCCACTTTGAGCTGACATGGCTGCCTGTCCCCCACAGCGCAGGCCAGAGGCAACCACAAAGCAGGCCATCTGAAAGCCGCTGAGGAGCACCGGCTATTTGGTATTTGGAGTCTAGCCACCCAGCTGAGAGCTGCCAAGCAGGAAACTCAGACTAAATGCCACCTTTCCGTGCAGCCGGATCGAAAGACCGAGTGAAAAAGAGAGAGACTGTTAGGCTGAGTTTTTCTCTGAGATGGTAAGGGAGGCTGGCTCCCCTGCGGCAGTCGCTGTCATCTCTCCAGGTGATGGACACACTAACTATACATTAGCTCCAAATTAGGCCAGCGACCACCCACTATGGCGACTCTGCTGGTGAGGCTCAGAAAACCTCTTTTATTCCCCATTTAATGAGGCACAATTATTTTTTTTTTCCCTCACACCTTCACAGTATTCCCAGAGCGGGTCCAATCAATTTCCGGGGCCGGGGCCCTGAGGTGAGGGCTGATGAGAGCGTGATCGATCCCTCTCTGTTTACCAATCCCAGCCTCCTTACACAACGGCCAGAATAACTGCTTTCCTCTAACTCTCTGTGGGTCTGCAAACACTTATCACTCACTGGTGTGAGCCTCAAGCTGCAAAAACTACTGTAAAGATGATCGAATTGGATTTGCTTTCACAAAAAAAAGATATTTTGTTATTTTCTAGTGTTACTTTGACATTCCATCTTCAAACTATATCAATACATTTACACTTCAATCCTGGTTTTAATTGTAAAGTACGGTGAGACACCAACACCTACATCTAAATAAATTAAAACATAACAGAAATTTTCATTCACATTAAAACCTCTATTAGAAATGTTAAGTTATTCAAATTCAATATTGAACAATCGGAGATGGTCAAAATATATGAATGGAAAGTTAAGTGGAAGGAAAAAGGTCAACAAGCAGCCTAGAGAGGCCAGTGAAGTAAAGCCTATTTTAGAGTGTAGTGCAGATTTCTGAGGGCCACCACACATGGACACATCCAGGACATATGTTCCAACTCCTCTATTAGGGGTGGAACGTTCACAAAATCCATTGTTCCGTTCGGTTCACGGTTCCGTGGTCACGGTTTTCGGTTTGGTATATGTTGATTGTTAGCCTGACATGTTGGTCGTGTTGCTGTTAGCATAAACAAAACGTGTTGCACAATGCTTGCACACTGTTGCACTTTTATCCACAACTTTCTTTCCTCCGTCATCGTATGTCACTCTAAATGCAAAGTGGTCCCATACAGCAGACCTATAAAGTGCTGCTGGCGGGTCTTCCAACTCCTGTTCTTTCCCACTCCCCATAACCAAACAATTCTCCACAACAACTGATTATTTTCTGCTACGCTGCTTTGCTTTTTCTTCTTCTTGTTTACTACTGGTGGTTGGCTTTGGTCGCAGTATCGCCACCTTCTGCTCTGGAGTGTACACGCTTCGCCTATGAGAAAAAGGAGCAGCGCATGAACCGAACGAAACACACCGAATCGAACAGAGACGGTCGAACCGAACGGTTCGGACGGTTTTCATAAACCGTTCTATCCCTATCCTCTATGATAAGACGGACCCAAACCAGAAAAAAAGTCTTGGAAAAATCAGAGATAATGGAAGAGAAGCACTAAAAAAATACTTGCTTGAGGTCAAGTTAAAGGTTTCTACAAACAGTGACGAGTTGGGGAGTCACATTAACTCATCATCTGCTAGGTTTACTCTTTTGTTAAAGACCAACTTCAACCAAGGAATCAACCCTGGTGTGTTTTACTAGAACAAGAGAAAGTTTCTATTCAAACCAGCAGAGCTTTCTAAACCTCACCAATAACATGTCTCCTCCCTCCCCACTGAACTGCTCTTCATCCAAAAGAAGCTCCGTCCAACTACACTGCAAAAATAACTGTATTATACAGTTATTGTTGCACGTTGAACAGTTTTCTCTAAAATGTTATAGCTTTAGACAAAAGTGATTTTAGGTTCTCATTATTGTTAGATTTTCAAATAAATGTTTCAATTAGTATATCACGAATAAAGCTAAATATCTGATTTTCTCTTTTGATACAATTTACTACATAATGTGACTTTTTGATGATATTCACATTCAGTGCATTGCATCTATAAACTTCAGAAACAAAATCCTAAAAATAGAAGTTTAAAAAAAACTGATAAGGATAAAAGGACATAGAGACTACAGAAAAAAAAACACAATATACAAATAAACAGTAATGTAAAAGAATACAATGATTTTTATCACTGTAACGTGAAAGAAACAGATGAAAGAGTTTCAGAACCAAGTAAAGAATGGAACGCCCTAAGGAGGCCTGATGACCCTAAAACAGGAAGCTACTGTAGAAGGTCAAACATATTTTATTCTGTTTACTTTCTGTTAGATATAGAAAAAAAAAGCTTATTTGCTTCCTTCAATATTTACTATTGGGAGTGTAGCGTCATATGAGGGGAGGGGGGGGGGTGTCCCTCAGGGCACTCTGTCATACACCCACCTGGGAAGAAACATAGTGGCTTTAAATGAGACAAGACATTTGTGTCTGGGATTAGCATTTCAAAGCCAAACATGCACACTGGGGCCATGTGGTGGTATTATGTTTGACTTATTTGACTGACTAGGACAGCAGGTAAGATTAAAAAGAGACAGAGAGAGAAGGACTAAACAGGTGGGAACTTTTCTTGATTTCAGCTTCTGTCTCCCTTCAATATCTGCTTCAATTAGGCACCTTGCTTCAGCCCCAAACGAAGACAGACAGATGGCAGATGCTACCATCAGACCCCACCTATATCCTGTGACAACAGCCCCCCCCCACCCCTTCAAGTACACAGCATCAATACACTGTCAGCTGGTGTGCGGTTTTGTACCGTCGGAGCAAAGACCCAAAAGGCGCCGCATAGGTCAGGTTTCCCGCGTGTCTCAGACTTGTTCACTCTTGGTCGTCCATGTCAAACAAGACCTACGCTATGTGCACCCACCAAGCACCAAAGTGGGCCGCCATCATAAATAACTCTACCAACAATACATCATTTAGCTGGGTGTTCTGCTCTCGTGGGCAACTCCAAACAAATGGCCACATCGATCATTGCGAGAGCTGGGAAAGGTAGGCCCAAGCCCCTGAGAACACCGCCTTCTTACTTAAGCACTAAAACGCACACACACCCTGCACAGCGATGCTTGGATAAAAAGCTCCTTGGTTTTTTTCTAAATAAACATGCCCTACCCAACTGGTAAAAGGCAACTTCTGGTAATCCTGTGGCGCTATGTGCCGATCTTCCAGCTGTTCCCAGCTCAACGGGTGCAGCAGATACCCAGATGCAGAAAGCCCCGTTGTTTGGCAGCGCTGAATACTTAATATTGTCTTCAACCTTTAAACAACCTTATGTCAGACTCATCTGTCATGGCATCCTGCTGAGGGTCCTGGATGCTTGTGTCTGCTCGGATCTGCAATTCAGGCATTCGGGTGTAAAAAGGGTGAGAGGTGAGAAGTTATATTAACTGTTGGCCTGCAGCAAGATACGGCAAGAGGCAGGAGGCCTTCTCTTTTTTGACCTCACTTTATCCCTCAGAACCCCAAGCCAGCATCACTCATTGTTTATATAGAAAGAGGTTAGAAACTGGACAGGGGCATGGCTCTATCTTTAGGAAACATATGGAAAGCCTATTGGCTTGCAATCCATCACAAGCCGGGACAAATGAGAGCAACCTGGATTTTAGATTGTAGACATTTCCCTTAGTATAGCAGCTAGGTATGGTAAGCAGAGCGGCAGCTGGCGAGCTCCCTTTCTGCCATTTAGAGAGCCTTAACCTGCATTTAAACGATTCCCAGTATGAGTTAATACTCTGAAGATGCTGGGAAAAAGGTAAAAAACAAAGATCCGTAAATGAAAAAAACTGCATTGAAGCTACTTTATTTTACGCCTTTAAAATTGGTGGAATTTTCTTTCTCTTTCATAAATCCAGTTTATGACTTAAATAGTAAATAAAATATGTGTAGTATGAATTGAAAATACAGGGATTAAAAATCCAATTGAACAATGAAATTGATGCATTGTGTAGGTTCTTGTCTGAACGTCAAAAACACACAAATCACAGGTGTTTATATCCATATGACACAAGAAGCACTCATATATGTTTGTTCTAATACATTTGCATCTTTAATTAGAAGCTTATCCCTGCTATTTGCAGACAATGAATTTCAGTGAATTCAACAACACCAATTTCTGCTCATCGGATTAAATCATCATCATCTTATTTGCAGATGGATCTTAGTTGTTTTGAACCTGCTTGCAGTACCAGATGGGTGGGGATTAAAGAATTTGGGGCACTCTGATAGATTCAGAGAGGTAAATATAAACTTCTGTAGACCATTTCTACTCTGCAAATGATTATTGTGCTAATTATGATAATTGGAATATTCATATTTGGGAGAATTTAATATAACTCAAATAGCCTTCTAAAACTTTATCCGAAATAGCTACCAATCTAACTGTGTGCACGGAGGAAAATCAAAAACAAGTAAATGTATGTATTCACGTGCCCTTGAAGTTTAAAAACACAGCCAGCGTGCCCCCACCTCATTGTGAATCTCCTCACAGTGCTGTAACGCTGTCGGCTGCAGGGTCACCAGGCTGTGGGAGCCCGTCTCGGGGTCAGTATGCAGGTTGGACAGGGCCTCCTGGCACCGGGACTGGATGTAGGTCAGGGTCCCCTTAGAACACTGATAGGAACGAGACCAGTGTCACAAACAACAGCATGACACGAATAAAGAAAGTAAAAGGTTATTAAACTAATGTGGCTTTAAACAGCTAATAATGATCATAGAAAATTAACAAATGGACTGGATTCAGCTTTTTTTTTTTGCATTATGACTTAAAAAAGTTTTTTTTTTTTTGAATATATAAAAATTGAACACAAAGTATCTTACAAATATTAAAGATTAAAAGGAAACAAGAAATTTAGGATATGTATAATATGAATCCTGAACATTTCAAATAATCTATGATAAAATAAACTAGCGAATCTTCAATAATCAGAAAAGATCCTCGCTCAAAAGCTCAATCGGATGCTACATGTGGTCCGGTGGTCTGACTCCCATTTTCAGATGCTATTACCTCGGCCACTCTGTGAGTCGAGCTGAAGCGTGGCGTTTCTCCAGCAAGTACACAATGCTGGTGGGTGCTGTTCAGGTCATCTGGGAAGCACAACACAAAGAAAACCCATCAGCACCATGACCAAACAAACAATATCGCTGCACGCCACAAAACGAGGAAACAGGATGCTAAACCTAGGAGCTCAAAAAGCAGAAGAGAGTAGATTTATGTGGAATTGATTGTTAATTGGAATAAAAGGAAGATATTACAAGAGAAAAACAGATGAAAAGCATGGAGTGATTTCCACTAAATCAACTCAGACACACTCCCATCGGTCCGGCGTCGACTCATAGAGGGAAGAGCACTGTAATTTAGTTTTAATTACCAAACAGAACCAGATCGCACTCAATCTGTCAAGATGGAAGCACCATACCAGTAAACATTTGTCCAATATCACATAAGCTTTACAGTGAGGCCTAAGCGCTGTTTCCTGCGTATCCCGCCATGTGTTTCTTTGTGTGGATAGATGTTTCTTAGCTCAGCCATTATTTGCCTCTTTCCAATAATTAATTTAGCCACGACAGAGCTGTCATTCACAGCACATGTGCATATTTACACCCGCCTTGAGCAAGAGAACACCAGCTAATGCCTGTGATTTGAAAGTCAAACAGCCAAATGCTTTAGGAGGAAGATATTATTGTTTGGTGGAAGGAGGGGGGGGGGGGAGAAGAAGAAGACGGTGACAAACAAAACAACTTGCCGGTGTTTTCTTCACCCTGATGAGATTGTGAAGGATTAGGTCTCTGGGCAGAATTACTCTGCGTCTTTAAAACTGTTTATATCCAATAACAAATTATCTCCATCAATCTGCTCTTTTCTTGGCGCCTCTAATGCAGCCAGTGGGATCAGGAGGGAGTCGAGGCAAACTCGATAACTGTAATAAATATTTATCTTTCTTTCAACCCCTGTGCCTGCTGCCACTTGTCCTCCTTTTCCAGGAAGCAGGCTTTTAAATATATTGGGTCAACTCTTTTCTGCAGTTCCCCCCCTGTGCATTGGGAGCTGGAAATCAGATTATTGAACAGACCCGGTGTCAAGACTTGCATTGTTCTTTTTTAACCACTGAAATTCCATTTGGGTGGAAATGATGGTGATTCAATTTGCCTCCAGCAGCTTAGACATTAGCAGTTCAAAAGGGCCAGCCGCCGACAAATGGTGCTGAAATTATATAATGGTGTATGCGGTTATACACCATTGTAGTTTCCATTTAATACAGCAAAACTACTGATCAAGGGCTGGATGTCACAAAAAACACAAGTGGAATATATTTTAACACCTGCTTCGGTTGCCTGCCTTGAATGAGAGTATTTTGGATGAGGGAGGGGTACTGCGCCAACCGGGGATACTGTAGGGCGCTGGTGCATCTCTGTGCAACGTGAGTTCTGCAAATTTATAGCTGAGTGAATACGTTGCACATCATGCCAAGTTTTTCATTCAGGTACACCGACAGAAGGTCGAGGATGGAGAGAGCTGCTATCGTTGTGGAGCAGTTGGCCTCTCAGGGTCGTAATCACCAAGCGGAGCATAACTCCCCACTGATCCGCGACAGTCAAGTCCCATTAGAGGGGGTCTGCACAGCAGCTCATCTCTCTATTATCATGGCTGGGAGGAAACTGACGGTTTCATTGTACGAGTTTCAAGGAATTTCATGCTGTATTTTGGCAGACGGTGGTGCTGGGTGATGAAAGCAGTCAGTCATCAGAATCATCTTCTTCCTTCTTACCTGTTGGTGATTAATCCAAGTTCCACTATTGTAGGTTACCAAAAACATTTGGTTTTATGTTGTATGAATTTGTCTCCAGTCCAAATATTTCATAGTAATGCAGGACGGATCCAGAGTGGATTTCAACTTTTGTATTTCTGCACTTATTAAGAAATTCCAATCTATGAATGACAAACTCAGTTTTGCTTTGACTCGTATTCCTTCCATTACCAAACTTAATGTTAGAGTGGATTATTTACAATCTGTATTTCACTTTTTTTATAGATCAAAATATTTTGAGTATGCAACCATTAATCCAGGGTAAATTCAGGAATTGGATGATCGAAAACACCAAAATCTCCATTAAAACACTTTAAATTACATCTAAGGTCCCAAGCTTTAAATGTCAGTGTATTCACCTTTCTATGTAGATAATGCATGTAGCTCACTCTGCATTTGTCACTCAGTACTGGAAAAAATAATCAATCAATGGGATTCTCTTTCATTACTTTGCACAATGCATCAGTACCACTGGCAGTGAAGGTAAAGCTCAGCATGATGTTACAGTTACCATGCATGAAAGTTGGTTCACCTTTCTTAAGGTTGAACGTTTTCCTCCTCTATCATAGCTCTTGTCACTGATGCCTCAGAGACATCTGCCTCTTAGTGCTCAATAATAAAATGATAGCGTTGATGGAGATGAAGTTTTATGTTTGTCTGCAACTTGGTAAGGAATGTTTAGTTCCACCCGGTGAGACTCACGCAGAGAAAAGGCAGAAGTTACTGTAGATGATGGTAGATCTAGCTAAGAGATCTACTGTAGTTGAGAGACGAAGAATGAAGAATGAGCGGAGCCATAATATGGCTAATGGAATGAAGGTGGTAAAGAGGAAGAGGAGGATTACAGTTCAGCGGCAAAGTTAGGAGTGTTCTTGAATCTGGAACTGTACGTATATATATATATATATATATATATATATATATATATATATATATATATATATATATATATGCCTCTATAACAATATCTCAAAAAATGTAATTATCACGTAAAAGTTTAATATTCAATCAAACAGTGAAACAATCAGTTATATGTCCGATAAGCACAAATTAATGCTAAAGAAAGTGCAACTAATATTTAGAAATGAAGAAATGTTTTAGAAGTCTGACAAGTGTAAAAGAAATATATATAATTAATATTCAATTTATTTGTAAGACACCACATTTTATTGTGTCCTTCTCCGTCCGCCATGGTCATGAAACCTACAACAAACTGAGAGTGAAACATTTAATTATGTGTCATAAATCTATTTAATATACAAGTTTCACCCTTATTTTTTCATGATATCCTATTTGTATTAGGGCCTATTATGTATTTTGACACCATGGGAAACAAAGAAAATTTAAACTATAGATACAAAATTCTGCAAACAATTAATTTTTTTTTTTATGTAACAAGGAAAAAATAATAATCAATCATTTAAAAGTCCTAAATGGACAATAAATTAGTTTTTAAATAAGAAAAAACATCTTGCTAGATAGCATCAAATAGACAGGGATGTTAAGACCTTCAGAAAAATTAGGATGCTATCATCCACCACAGAGCTACAAATGTTAGCTCTTTTTAAATCTCGCATTGCAAGATTTAAACATAAATTTGAAAATATCAGCTAAAAAAAATCATCGATCACATTTTCAATGACAAAAATATTTGTTGTTGTTTGTTTCTAAGACAAAAAGTGTTTTTAGTTTCATAATAATTGCTTCTTTATTGGTAATAAAATCAAACAGATACATTATGAATAAATATTACTCAGTGATATATAATAAATAAATAAAAAACTCTTCCTCAAATCAGGGTGCCTGCATGAAATAATAAATCCTCCCGTCCATTCAGGCAGGACTCCTCACTTGATGTACATCTGAACACAGGCCTCCGCTGTGATGTGGATAAATGTCCTTGCAAGCCTGGACAGGCCCGGGGGACTAAAAAAAAAAGAGGGTGGAGGTGTCTGCCGAAGCCAGAAGCATTAAGGCATGATTTACACCCCTGTGGCTTGCTGTCTGTTCTCCCCATTGAGACGTAGTCAGCAATGGGTCAGAGGACTTCAAAAAATAACATTTGGTTTTCCTAACCTCTCTAATGCACACAATTTCATGGAACCTTAAAGCTCAGTGTTCAGGGCCAAGACACCTCTCTTTCACACACCCTGTCTCTTTTACAACAACACACACACACCCACACACACACACACACACACACACACACACACACACTGTCTCCAGCGCAGAAAAAGTGAGAGTGAAGTTCATCCCACTGCTCTAGGTCATCTGGGATGAGGGAGAAGGATCCACTAAAACCCAGAGTAATGACAGTCCTGCCTTCTCCATAACAACATGGAACCACTGTGCAACAACAACATGTGCAACAACCAAGCTTGCACATGATAACATGTTTGTTACTCTGCGAGTTTGTTTATGGCAAAGGAGCAGTACCTCTCATGTAGTAGCAGTCTCCAGACTCGAGGGGCAGCATCAGGCCAGGTGTGTGGATGTCCCAGGCCACTTTCAGGCCGATCCTCCAACACGACTTCTCACCGCTGCCACCTTCGCTGCACTCACCTGTAAGTCACACACATCCCACTTTACTGTAGCATTTAAAGCTAGCTTCATGCTAAACTGTTCCCAACTCTATCTTTTAGAGTTTGCAACACATTTTTGTTTTCATATTTTGGCTTTCGAATTTTTTATTTTGTTCTGTATTCAGTTGCAGATTTTCCTGCCCCAGCATGATGCTGCCACTACTGTGTTTCACTCTGGGGATGGGAGTTTTTATATAAAAAATCGTGTTTGTTTTCGTCCATGAATATAGTTTCGCGCCCTGCGATGGACTGGCGACCTGTCCAGGGTGTACCCCGCCTCTCGCCCATTGACTGCTGGAGATAAGCACCCCTCGCGACCCAACTCGGGGCAAGCGTGTCAGATAATGGATGGATGAATGGATATAGTTTTGCATTTAAAAAAACAAGGTTAACTTTTGTCTAATCTGACAAGAACAACTTCTCCCAAATTTGTTGAATTTTTATCTGGTTGTGGCAAATCTAGAACAGGATTTCTGCTGGTTTTATTTCAATAGATATTCTGTCAGTGTTTCTGAAAAGGAAAGATTTGTAGAGGGCACAAGTAGCAGTTGTGGATTGCAAATTCTCAAACCTTAGAGTTTCAAGAGTTGCAAGATGCCTCCAGGCTGCCTTTCTGATTAATTCTCTCCTTTACTAGGCTGTCAGGTTGGTTGGATGCTGACTGGTTTGGTAGCTTTGCCCAATTCATCCTAACAAAACTTTATCTCTGACCAGTCTGGTGTCTTCCTTGGCCTTTATGATGCGTTTCTTATACAATTTAACAAATCTCTACGGCCTTTGCTGAAGAGCAACTTCTATTCTAACTATAAAGATTTTATTTAGGGACGTAGGGTAAAACGAGGACTGAACAGAAATACCCACAAACCCATTTGGATTATTTCTTTTTAACGATTTTTTACCTTCCACTTCAAATTTGCTTCAGTGCTGGTTGATCACATTATACTCTAAAATATATATCCTGTTATTGTGCATAATAAAAGAAAAACCAGTAAGTTTTGTCTCAGCAGAATCGGCGAGCATTTCTCTTAGAAGGACAAAGCGGAAAAATGGTACAACTCCATAAACACGCACCACCGCTCTCATAAAATAACACAAAAATTATATTGAGAATTAATATGATAAAAGTCTGGACTGCAACGATTAAATCAATACCAGCCAAACAATGGATGTAAGATGTAAGGCCTTGTCTCCAGAAAGTAAGAATCACTTAACAACAGAGCAAAGATGATACGTGTTTCTGTGGTTATAACTGGCTGTTAGCACAGGATCTTTATGCTATCATTATGCTGTGCAAGAGGAAATAGTTGGATAAAAGCCTCTGATGTTGTTTAGCGAGTGTGCGAGAGCATGTATCCTGTGATACTCCTGTTGATGAACCCATTCACTGATACCACCTCGCCCGTTCTTCCCTTTCTCCCTCAGTTCTTACACAGCATCCGAGGAAAACAAGATTTCTCCTGGCCAGCCGACACCCTTCAGCAAAATCAATACTAAAGTCTTTCTAGGCCTCTCTGCCCCGTGGCTGCCTTTTCCTTTGCTCAGCACGGATAAATAGTAACTTAATTTCCAGCCATTGTGCTCTGAGAGCCGGCTAATGACAGCACTCCCAGAAGGCTTAGAGAATAGAGCAAGCCCATCCTCCGTGCCGGAAAACACTCAGTCGCTGCAGATTCCTTTGGATCGGAGGAGTCAGGAAAAAAAAGAAAAAACTACAACTTCTGGTCAAAGGATATAACAAGGTGAGGCAGCTGAGCTGGAGAAGAAAATTTCACACCCTGATCTAAAGCTATAACAGAAGGAGAGCGTGTTTGTAATAGTTACAGCAAAGTGCATTGTGTTCTTTAAAAAAGAGGCCTTTAAAGGCACATATAGGCTGGTCTGGGAAATCTCAGGGCTGACAACTGGAACACACTTCTGTTTCATTCTCATCAAAGTATCCACACTAAAGCTTGGAGCAGTGGGGGGTCATCCACAGCTGTAAGGTGTCATGTTTGAAGCCTGTGTTCAGAGGGTCAGAGTTGAAACAGTCCTGAGTAGATTAAGAAAACAGCCCTTTGGAACAGGTTTTACTCCATATGAAGGGGTAATGCAGACAGCCCAGCTGAGGAATGATCGCGAAATCAGAGCAATCTGAACCGCACCTGGTGTGACGCTGGCGCCGCAGAAACTCGACATGCAGATTGTGGCGACATGCAGGACAAGTGCATGAAGAAAGTGCGATTAGTTTGAAATTGCATCAATATCCCTTAAACGTCATCAGATTTGCTACATTACAACTAAAATTGTTCATTTTACAGGAATCTTCAGGGACAGACAGAGGGTAGGCCACAAGTGTGAAGCGAAATACAGACGATATGTGCTATTGACATTTTTACACATTGCATTCTATCTTGCTATCCCTGAATAAAATGCAATCACTTATATTCCAAAAGTAAACAGAGTCTAAAGCCCAACAAACACAAATCCAACACTTAAAGTCAAATGTAGTAGCTAATGTATCGAAATATTTTACCTGTATAGATTTAGAGGAAAATTATCACATTTAAAGGAATAGTACATCCAAAACATGATTAGCCTTCATTTTCTACTCACCCCCATGCTGAACAACACTCTGGAGTACT